CCATAGCCTCCATGTTGTGTTCTTGTAATAAATAGTCACTACCATGCATTCTTGAACAACTCATGAATATTTTCAGCCCTGATTTGATGATTGCATGACAAGATTTTGAACTCAAGGCCGAGTCCCTGCTAACTGAAGCAGGGTTGAAACCCCGGGGTTGAACTCAGCCCTGGCTTGACAATTTTGTCACGTAATTGTGCGTTTGATTGTGATAGAGTTTTGTATTACAGACAGGGCTGAAATTTCAACCTGGTCAACAGGGTTGAGTTCAACTCCGGGGTTGAAAATGCCCCATGTAATCGGCCCCTTAGTCGATGCCCACAAAACAGGTGGAAATTTTCAATAGGGTGCTTGTTGAAAGCTACCAATGCTTGATGTGGTGTGTGGTACATGGGATGGTTGTTCTCTTGCCAATATATGAAATGAGAGAGAACCACTAACATTAATTGCCTTGTTGTGATGACAATGACATAAGTCAATCTCTAAATATGTGAAAGGTCAAGGCTGCTGAATTTCTCACAAACAATTGGAGTTCTCCATGATAATCCTGGTCAGGCTGTGTTACTGTCAACAGGTGCATATGGGCAAAACAAGGAGACAAGAAAGTGGAAACTACTAATAAAATTTGTTAACGTTGGAAGCATGGTTGTCACCAACAGAGTTCTTACATTGGGCTTTTCATCAGTGGAAAGACTTCCTAATCCAACAATGTAAGTTCAGCATAATTACACTGCATCACTATCACAACTTTTATATGCTTTAGTAAATAGTTGTTGATTCCATGATCCTAAAAATATACACTGTGGTCTTTCTATTTTCTACAATTATATAAACAAAGTGGCTATATCTACGGGTCCATAAACAGACTTTGCCAGGCTATATTTACGGCACGGGAAAGTACAAAACATGGACCCCCGGTCCATGGACCCCTTGTCTGGCCCGGGTCCATGGACCCCCTCTATGGACTGGGTCCATGGACCCCTTCCATGGACCCCTTCCATGGACCGGGTCCATGGACCCGCAATTTCTCAATGGCCCCATCTATGAATGAATGTTAACAGGAATTTTTGAATACACCTGAATATAAATAACCATGTACAGGGAGAAAACAAATTTACTTGCAAGGTCAAAATGTTCTATTAATTTGTTCCAAATAACACTTATGCATCCAGCTAGCTAGTGCACAGCTCACAAAAATGTATTAATAAAAGCAAATCAGATCGCTGATTATGAACGGTGCCTTTAGACCACTTTCATAAGAGACGAATTGAAACACTTTTTTGTATATTGAACCAAGAGGGCTAATTAAGACAAACAATCAATGAAAGTGGTTTATTATTTCAACACTTTGCTGGCAGTGGTTTCTTTAATTTCATAGGCTGCATGTGATCATTGACCGGCTTTGCAAGTCAGTAACACTATTATTTTTTACATGGTGCATTGTTTGTCATAATATGTCGTTAACAAGCCTCGCTTTGGTATGAAGAAAACAGGGGAGTGCAGATGAGGTTTGCTGCTAAGAACAAAAGTTGCTTTAAAACCACTAAAATATTTTTAAAAATTGAAAACTCGAATCATGTTTAACAGTAATATTGAAATTTGAAAAAATGCGGCCCATGGAGGGGGTCCATGGACTCGGTCCATAGAGGGGGTCCATGGACCAGGTCCATAGAGGGGGTCCATGGACCAGGTCCATAGAGGGGGGTCCATGGACCCAATCCAGACAAGGGGTCCATGGACCGGGGGTCCATGTTTTGTTCTTTCCCTTTACGGCACTCTATGTACCGAACCGGTGTCCCAGGATTTTCGCCCCCCCTACATTTTCGCCCCCCGGGGGGCGAAATTCCTAGGAATATCGCCCTCCCAGGGGGTGGCGAAAATCCTAGGAATTTCGCCCCCCTTTAGGAAATTCGCCCCCCTTTGGAAACTTCACCTTTTCTTTAGGATTTTCGTCCTCCGTTCAAAATTTCGCCCCTCCTAACAGTTGCATGGGATAATTATTACATGGCTTTAATCATTTGAAATCAGTATCAATTCAAAATTGTTAAGACAGAGCTTGAAATAACAACCGATCACCGATAAATGATCGGAAAGGAATTGCTTATGATCGGCGGAAAAGCAGGGTTTCGGTTTCCAACCTGGAAAAAGCAGGAAAGTCACGACTGCCGATCACCATGATCGGAAAGTTTGGGAACGTTATTTCAAGCCCTCCATGTAAGAATACAAATTTACAATTACATGTATCGAAAGGGCTTAATACACAGTTACAGTAGATCAATAGGACTTATGACGCTTCACAGCACACCATGCATATTTTGCATTTTCAGTGTTAATCCTTAAATAAACTCATTGTTAAAAAGTAATCACCGTGGTGGTTATTGTAATTATTGGTATTGTTTTGCATCCATGTTTTGTCGTTATCGGAAAATATAAGTTGTCACTATTTTTACTTGCATTATTTCAATATAGTTTGTAAATCTCAGAAGCGAAGGGTAGAACTTGCCAATAGGCAATACTCCAATAATATACGGCGTTTCAAAAAAGATTTTAGTTTTGCAGAGTTACATTCTCAAATGTTTAAGGCACTAATAAAATCAATGTATCATGATATTATTTGAATAAAGCGCACCACATATATAAGTCAAGAATCAAGATTACATTATAATTACTGACACTGACATGGAAAGTTGACGATTCAACGGACAATAGTCAATACGCTTCCCAACACATTCCATAGATTTTTTATTAATCCTATAGTTTATTGTTAGCAAGTGATTACTGTGGCGGCTATTGTTAACACTGGTATTGATAAAATTTGCAAGCGATTGTTTTTATAATATGTTATGTAAATGTAAACTGCCAGAAGAATACGACAACAAGATTTTATGCGACCTCTGTCGGCAATGGTTCCACTTTAGATATGTAGAATATGACACTAGACTAAGTACCTCAATGAAATAAATAAATAAATTACACAAATCTTTTCAACTTGCAATCGTTTTGTTTTTAGATAAAAAAATTCAAAATCTATATGGGAGGGGGGGGGGCGAAATTCCTAAAGGGGGGCGAAATTCCTAAAGGGGGCCTGATTCCACGAGCGCTTTTCATCGGCGAAATGCGAAATATTTCGCGTGTTTCTTTTGAATTGCGACCACTCGAATAAATTATAATTTCTACTTGATTGAGCGCTCACAATTCAAAAGAAACAGGCGAAATATTTCGCATTTTGCTGACAAAAAGCGCTCGTGGAATCAGGAGTTAAAGCGTATTGTTTACAAAGGATTTTCATTTCTCGAAAATAGCTCAGAAGGTTAGGCAAATGGCTGCTGTGTTGTAGTCCGCGGGTTCGAATCCGAGTTTGTGACGGTTTTTTGTTCGCCTTAACAAAACATGTTTAACTTTTTTTTTCTGACTAGTTTTAATTTTTTTAGGGGTTAGGGTTAGAGGTTAGGGTTAGGGGAAGGATTGGGGTTAGGGTTATTTTTGTTTTAATTTGACTTTAACGATAAATACAGGCCGTATGGAGACTAAGAACGAGAGTGCCGTAAATATAGCCTGGCGAAGTCTGTTTACGGGCTCGTAGATATAGCCACTTCGTTATATAAAACACATAGGGAAAACTGCGTACTAAAGCAAATAAGTAACCCTCGGTTGACTGACAAACTGGTGCTCGAAAAAATATGAATCTTTTAATATACTGACAGCCTATAAAATGTATATGAATCATAAAGCATGAAATATATAATATGTTTGATATTATTACCTTCAATTTCCATTGACACAGCAAATGTGATAAGATCGAATGGACTGATCTAAAAATCAGTGATCGAATGCAGTCCTGCTAGTTCTTTGTGTCGCATTTTTCGAGGCTGTGGACGCTCTTTCCACCTCGAGTGTACTAAACCTACCAAGTACCAAACATCAGTGCTTGCCCATTTTGCAAATAATATCCTCTCAAAGTCAAAAGCTTGGGCCAACGAGGAAATCATAAATTTCGAAAAAAAATTGCCATTCATTGAAACGGCGATTCTTCTACTTTACATTAGTGCTATATGCCACTGCTGGCAAAATTATAGTCGTGTAGTGACCGGTTGCCAGAAAATTTAACTCCAAAATCGCAGTGAAAATGCCTTCTTTCTCAAATGCCTCAAGCCAACTTAAATATTTCCGGATATAAGCCTTCGCTTCATTTCCTTTAGAATCATAACACGTTTTTGACCTATTCGAGAGTGACCTTGCATACGCCGTTTTTTGAATGCGGATAATTTCAAAACTAAGCGATTAAACGCAAATCCCAGCGGCAAATTTTTCGAAAATTTTATATTTTATAGCATTTCATTGAAATAAGCTTAAAAAATTAAAAAACCAGGCGCCTCCAAGGCTTTATTTACGACCCTAATTTTCGTGTTGAAAACGCGTTAAACCAGAAGTAGTAAAAATGTACGCGTTCTGATTGGCTTAGCGCCAAAAGGTGAACAAATGCTCTGATTGGTCGAGAACATTATTCGCCCTTCACTGACATAAAAGGAAGACAGTGTGTAAGCAATCTTTTTTAAGTAACAAGCACAAAATCAAGAAAGCAAATTATAATAAAAAATTTAATAATCTAAATTTATTTGAATGTCTTAAATTCGATCTGCTTTTGATCAAACTGTGTTTTCGTGTATTTTTAAAATTTGAGTGAGGAAGCTATGCCCATGCATGAACGCGTTGTTCGGGCATAATTGATAGTAAAAGGGAACCTGCATGGTCAAATTTAGTCTTGATAAAAAGTAGGGGCAATTTTTTTGAGATCTGTTTGGAGGTCCACCGACAAATCGAAGCCATGCGCCCTGATTACTGATGAACTTTAAAACCGCTAGCTATCATTTTCACGGGTGTAAGTAGCCGTGCGGGATTAGTACCCTTCCCGGCGACGGTGCTTTGCCATTGGCTAGCTCGGGGATCCTATTTTTCTAAATATTGCATCCTACAATTATAGTAATACTGTAATCGTCGTCATGGGAAGAATCTTTTTTGAAACTGCTAACCGTGCATCTCAACTTATAGACAGAAGTTTCAATTGCTCTTTTGATACTGGGCCATGTGGTTGGAAATTAAAAGGTTCAGCAGGAGAAAAATACGACACAGGTAAGAGTAGTAATTAAGGTTACTTAATTCACATGATGAACGTGCGTTTTCGTCTATTGAACATGGCGCAACGAAATTTTGGTGTAACTTTACCAAATTTTTAATGGAGAAAGCTAAGAAAATGCTAATTTCGAAAATCTTCATTTGATGGGTGTTCTGTTTACAAACATGCCCAGTATTGGCTGACTAAAAAAAATTATAGGTATCCCATAAAAAAATCAAAATATGTTCATAGTTTACCGCAATGTTTGTCTACATATCTCGATTTAAATCTTCATAGGTACGGTAAAAAACGTGTGAGGAAAATTTCTCTTCTTCAATGGTTTATCTGATATGACGGTTTTTTGACAACTTCGAGAATTATCAGTGACAAATCCAAGAATGAGGTCATATCAGAAAAACCACTAAAGAAGAGATATTATCCGCAAACGTTTTTTTTTACCGTGCCTATGAAGATTCGAATTGCCATATATAGACAAACATTGAGGTAAACTATAAACATATATTTTGATTTTTTTATGAAAGTACCTATATATTTATTCAGTCATCCAATACTGAAATTGTTTAAACTGAACACCCATCAAATGAATATTTTTCAGGGCTTTCTTCACTGAGAATTTGGTAAAGTTACACCAAATGACAATGTAACCTTAAATTATTAGGCCTGCTTAACAATTCAAATCATATTTATTCCGTAGGGTAACCTCTTAAGTGATCTATCACTGGTATCAATGAGGGCCCTAGACCGGTATTAATGAGGGCCCATGCATCAGTAATTATAACTTACTAAATTTTTATGAGACAATATTGGTATTTTGGAACCAAAATACCAATATTTGTATATTGGTATTTTGTGCATGTATATTACGCGTGAAGCAATGACAATGTCTTATTTTTTTAAATGTCCAGAGCTGAAGCAGTACGTCGACAGTTTCAAACATAATCAAAAAGGAATTCTACGAAGCCCAAAGATCGTCGCAAGCAAAGCTTGTTTAACTTTTCAGTACATGTCCAACAGTTGGTGGTCTTTGGATCATTCTCGGATGTTTGTATATGTTAAAGACGCTGAAAGCAAGCAGTTGCTTCCTGTAAACGATAAATTGTTGTATTACGGACATTCAAAGTGGAATACAATCAAAATTGATTTAAATATTGTGAACGGTTTTACACAGGTGGGTTACGTCCTGTAGGCATCCAATGTATTTCATTAAGTAAATCAAGAGTTATTTTTCAAGAGATATTTTTCAAGCTCGCCGGTGTGGATATACACTCAGAGTAACATAACAAACATCATATTCACCTGAGTACACAATACCAACACAGAAAAAATCATATTACTAGATTACACTGGTATCGAAGGAACTAGATTCTGTTCCGAAAGATCACTTACTCGAACCGTCCTGACAGCGTAACTCAGTTGGCTGAGCATTGGGCTAGTGTTCCAAAGGTCGTAGGTTTGATTCCCACCGTGGTCGGGCATATTTTTCAAGCTTGCCCGGTGTGGATATACACTCAGAGTAACATCACAAACATCATATTCACCTGAGTACAGAACACCAGCACAGAAAAAATAAATCAAGAGTGTTGATACAGATTTTAATTTCATCTTGAAACCTAACCCAATTGTAAAACCTAATCCCTAATGTATTTTCATTATTTTAGGTTGTAATAGATTTCACTCTCGTCAAATTTTATGTTTCTGTTGCCAATTTTGTTCTATACACAGAAATTGAAAGCTGTGGAAGCGTTGGTAAGCTCATTGGATATTGTCTTGTATTTTGGTTACTATCACCGTGGATATTTTATATAGTTATTTCACTCAATTGAACTAATGCTGAAGATTAAAACCAGGGCCGTAGCTATATGGGTGGGTGGGTGGGGAGGGGGATCACACCCTGAAAACGTCTTTTCGGCAAAATAACCATTTTATCGGCGAATCGTTTTCGTAATCAGTTAAAATATTTGAGTGGCTCGGATGAAAAAGAAATAGTTATAGCTAAAATTTAGCTAAATTTACTAAAATTACGGAGAAAGTTAACAAATTATGATTTATCCGGAAACTTTTTTGTATGTTCGGAAAAATAACAACATGTCGGAGAAAATTTTTGTAAAAGAATTTTGTGACCTCCCTCCCCCCCCCCCACCCCTCCGCTGGCCATAAATTCCGAAGAAAAAATATTAAGCTGAAGTGTTGTCGGCAAAACGATACTACACCCCCCCCCTCCCCTTTCTTTATCCTCTTTCCTACGGCGCACCCTGATTAACAGCTACAAAATACTTCAACATTGGCATGTATTGATAGTATTGTTTCCATAATGTTGACTGCTCATCTCAAATTACACCAAGAAAACTGGTATCATTAACAAAATCTATTTCATAATTGTTTAGGATGATTTCAGGAATAATATAATACATAAAAATATTACTCCACTGTGATTGGTTGATTTCTGTGCAGTTAATCCCAAACAGCAGTGCAATTTTTTGTAATCACAGTGCAATTTTCTGTAATCACAGTGCATTTTTTGTAATCACTGTGCAAAAATCTGTAACAATTAAACTGATCTAATTGATGGAAAAACAATGTGATGATAATATCAACCAATCGGTTTAAAGCAGTTTAGTTTAAGGTGGCTCGCTACAGTTTATAGAAATGTTGAAAATGCGTAAACTAGATCACCTTTTTGAAGAGATGATGCTCTTTACAAATCGAAATTTGTATATTGTATATACAGCGACAATCAAACAGTCGAAAATTGGTCAGAAAAGTGACGTCACCACTGTTGCTATGGCAACAATGACGATTCAAGATGGCCGATATTTTGGCTTTGAACGCATTTTACTTTAAAAAAAGGTCGGTTACCCCCATTTTTTATATCAGAAAACATTTTCTTATAGAGCAATGCACTATCTGACCAATTTTAAAAAAATTCTGTAATGCAAAAAAAATTATTTCGAAAAACCATGTTTATAAAAATTGGTCAGATAGTGTATTGTACTATAAGAAAATGGTTTCTGAAATAAAAAATGGGGGTAACCGACCTTTTTTTAAAGTAAAATGCGTTCAAAGCCAAAATATCGGCCATCTTGAATCGTCATTGTTGCCATAGCAACAGTGGTGACGTCACTTTTCTGACCAATTTTCGACTGTTTGATTGTAGCTGTATATATAATATACAAATTTCGATTTGTAAAGAGCATCATCTCTCCAAAAAGGTGATATAGTTTACGCATTTTCAACATTTCTATAAACTGTAGCGAGCCACCTTAAAGAAGCAACGGTAAGTCATAACAGATTGCTTCAAAACAAAACAAACATGGTGCCACGCTACATAAAGTAAAAGTTGACTTCGGTTGCAAAATATGTCTTTTACTTTTTAAATGAAAAAAAGCCTTTACCTTAAACAAGACTAACAAAACTTACATAGTTGAGTGGAATTTTCAAGCTGTTAGCGTTGTACGTATAATGTGATGTAACAAAGCGAGGAAAACTTTGCCAGCGGACGGTTCGCTATAAACGTAAGTTAAAACTACAATTGTCTCGAACATTATTATGTAAATTATTAATAAGTAATAGCATGGTTTCTCGTGAAATTTATGGCGCGTTTTACTGTCAAAATTCAATAGTTTGAAATCGAATATAAACATTGTAAATCGATCAACACTTTTGGGAAACGAACGGACTAACTTATATTTCGACCATTCGAATCGATCAATACTTTCCGGAATTGAGCGGGTTTTAGTCAAATTGATTAAGCATTCATGGCATAGAGCGAATATTTGCAACTTTCACCCACGTTGAACCATACACATTCGTATCGATCAACACTTTCTCGAATCGATCAAAGCTTTCTCTAATCGATCAATGCTTTCTCGAATTGAATCGACCATCAACCAACACTCCATTAACGTGTTTCTACTTCACTCCCATGGCGGATGATTTTCCTTAAAATGTGAAATTCAGTGGAAAATAATGAAAATTATCTTCGCGCTTTATGCAAGACTGCGTTTCAGAGATTTCAGTTAATTAAAAGGTATGAATTATTTATTTTTATCGACAATTTATAAACGCAGTGTAATATATGCATGTTTTAGCATCATTGTCAGACGTTGTGGTACTTGTGGTCATTTAAGGTAACTTATAGTAGCCTAAATGTTGTTGTTTACTGCATGTATTAAAATGGTGTATATTAAGAATAATAAGATGACGCACTCTTCATGTATATTGCCCTACACGAAGTGTATACCTGAATTTTGTAGGGTTAATTAAGGTGGGGGGACTGAGTATTTACATTCAGAAATCTGACTCAGCCAAAAAAGCATTTACCCCACTTTATAACGTAAAATGTTTTGAAATTAG